GGCTTTTAACCACAATGTCCAGGGTTCGAGCCCCTGCTCGGGCGGTTCTTTTTTATTCTTCTTTTCTTTTATAATGTAGTTATTGCGCAATTACGTGACTGATGCAGAAGTTCTTTATATATATATTTATTACTATTGAGAAATAGGACTTATAAGAAATGCTCATTTTCTAATACAAAAAAACAAATATCTTAATACTATAGATATTCTACAAACCTTAATTTTTTTGAAGTTGTATAATATAATTAAATTATTCCGAATAATATAAAAATACTATATAAGCATGATGGACATAGTAGTATACGTTGATATCCATTTGTTGCTCAAAATATATCAAGAGAGGAAGAAAGTTGTAGTAAAAATGTATATAATAATATCTCTAATATGTTCAGTAATGTTGCTCGTTTAGAAAACGACGAAGAAATAGAATGAGAAAATAGCTCAAAACGTTGATGAACGTGCGCATGTGTTCTAACAGCAGTACTCAATGACCATTACGTTTCTTTTTTTTCTATTTTTCTGTTTAGTGTGTTATTCTAAATTTAGTAACTATTACTAGTATTCTCAACTGAATGTCTCAAGAGGGAAATATCAAAGTGAATAAAGTATTTTTACCAGATATCAAGTAAAGCAGTTCAAAACGTAAATTGTTACTTTTATCTATAAAAATATTTTTAAACAAAAATGTAATCAATAAAACAAATCTAGGGAAGAAATAGTTATTTTTATATTCCATCAAATTACCTTATTGTTCTCATATAGAAAAGTGATAGATCAAATGTATAAGTTGTATGTTTTATTCATATATAATCCTACAGTACACTTTACTCTCTTATTTAATCGAATTAGTAAACATCTGAACGAAGATAAACTATTATACTCGAATACAAATGATTATTATAATTTTTGTTTTCGGGCTTATTTTGTTGTCTAACGGATTTCCATATGATAATAGCAGTGACATGATAGTACTTACTTATTTATTTGCATGATTGCAAAATATTTGACAAAAAAGAACGCACATAGAGAGAGAAATGTTTTTTTGTTAGTATAATGTCCATTTTTCTATGTATTCATTATACTACACACGGTTATTATTTGATTTTTCATATAAAATTATGTATTTTGACACATGCGTGTCAGGAAAAAGGCAAATAAAAATTTACTTAATATCCTTCTCTTTAGTAATTATTTTTTTATAATATAAAAGAAGTAGTGAAAAGAAAGTTGAAGACGTGAATATATTTTATATTAGGTATACATAACTAAATTTAATATTAATTTATACTTATCTGATGAATAAAAAGACGAAATAAAAAACAATGTAAAAAGAACTTATAACTTATTCTTTTAAACAAAATAAAAATATGATGTGTCTATCGTTACCTATACTATATTTAAAGGAAAAATGCTGGAAGGCAAAATTTCTTTTTATCATTATTTGTCGAAAGTAATGACGTATGAATTTTCTAGTTCTTCCGGTTTGAAGTATATCTTCATAAGTTTCCGGAACAATGACATATTATTGAACAGTAACAATGTGTTAATAATTGTTAGTATTTAAAAATGTTACTATTCATTATATTTTTTCTTCTAAATTTTGAATCTATTCCTAATAATAGTTGATTATTACAACTATATTTAATCGAAGTGTATATCGAATACATTCAGCTTAAATCATATATCAAATTATATTTCTAGATCATAATTACCTGTTTGTTTGCACATAGTCTTACGTCATCTATGTAAAAAAAAAAGAATGTTCGTGATTGATGGAAGAACTATTTAGTAGATGCTTAACTCATATTAAATACATCCTTTAGAATGAAAACAACAGTTTATAGAGGAATAAGTGATAGAAAAATACTTCCTTTTATATCCTAATATTTAGCCTTATTATTACTACTGAAATACGAAGTTTCTATACCTCCTACGGATTATTTCTATTTCTATAGATTCTTTTAAGCATGAATGAAAGAAAAACAGCAACTTTGATATGATAAATAAGATCCTTTGAATGTCGGATTGACGTCATCAATTGAAGTTTCACGCGATCTTATATGACTATCAATCATACAAAAAGTTATTTATTAAAACGTAGTATGTAAACAATTGAAAGATAATACTTAGATTAAATGCGTACTGGAAAAAATTTCTTTATTCAAGTATCCTTTATGGAACTTGTATTCAGTAAGATTATTAGTAGAGCACGTTTCAAAACATCTTATGAATCCGTTCTTTTGAACCTTGAAAATGTATTTTCATTCAGTCATCTTTTATAACATCAAAATTGTTTACAAATGAGTTTAGAAACTATTATATAACTAAAAAAATTCTTTAAAAAAAAGAGAATAAATCAAAAGAATATTATTTAGATACGTCTTTGCATAAAAAATATAGTAAATGAACAAAAAACTAAATCACAAACATCATTTTTGTTAAAATCTTTTAAATAAGTAATTCGATTTTAAGTAGTACCATTATTTTTACGTTGATTTTTATGTTCTCCATGTTTATTTGAAATTGATTTATGTGTTGAATTATTAGCTGATGGCGATGATGCATTTATTATAGGTACATTATTTTTTTCTTCCGATTGTTTAATAATAGTTGATTTACTTCGATGAGTACCTGTTCTATTATGTGGAACTAGATCAATAGCATATTGAAGGCATACTCGTTGAACACTGACAGCATCGGTATGATGAAACGGAAGTGTTGGGCGAAGAATTAATAATTTACCAGTTTGTGGAGACATACTACGAGTAAGTGAAGCAGATTTTGATAGATTTCTTCGTGATGGATAAAATCGTTTGCGTAACATTTCTTCGATTCTATGCAAAATATTTTATAAATAAAATAAATGAGATAGAAATAAAATACCTGAGTGCATCAGTTGATAAGTATGGAGAAAGATATTTTCTTGGTAATTTTCTTCTTGGAGACAATTGAGATTTACGTGTTTGTATATTTTTTTCTGTTTCACTTGTTGCTCGTAATTCTTGATATCGGTCACGTTCCATACGTCGAAATACATATTCATATGTTTGACATGTTCGTGATATACGTTTTGGTTGACGATGTGTTTTTTGTTTTTCAGTGATGATCTGTTCTGTATCTGATTGTGTCTCACGATCATGATGTTCAATAGATTTTTGTTTATTTTTCTTAGCTGAATGTTGAATAGGTGTAAAATATTGTTTAGGTTTTTGTTCAATAGAATCTTCGGCTGTTGTTTCAGGAGAACTTTCATCAGCAGGAGTTTTTCTAACAACAACAGTTATATTAACATTTACAGGATCTTTATCTTGATTAGAATCATTAGATTGTTTAACTTTACATCGTATAGTTGATTTATCTTGATCGGAAGTTGTAAATAGTTGTTCTTTATTCGATGTACGTTGATGTGTTGAATGAAAATGATCCGACATTGGTTTTGTTGCTTTTAGTGGTTTTTTAGGAGTCAATTCTAAGATACATTAAATTCATGATTATGATCAGTTTTTTTTCAACTATTGAAAATCAATCATTCTTTTTTAGTTTTTCTAATGAATCATAGAAGACAAGCTCTACTACTATTGAAATTCCTATTTTTCCCTTGTATAAAATATATAATAAAATCATAGAAAGTCAATAGATCTATTAAGTAAAAACCGAGAAACTGAATTGAATATTGTATTATGTTTAAACTATTTTTTTCGTATATTTATCAAGTTAATCAATAATAATTTACTTTGTTCATCAGAAGAGCTATTTTGCTGTTGTTGTTGTCGAGAATCAATAGTTTGATCTGTATTTGTTTGAATATCTTTCTTTTTTGCTTTAACATTTCTTCGATTATGTTGACTACGATCAGTATTATTGTCTGATGTTGAATCAAGTGATCGATCATCGACAAGACGAATATGTGTTGATGAATTAGCACTAAAACTTCGATGTGATGGACGTTGTTGTTCATCTTTTCAGAAATAAGATAAAATAAAATAATTGAAACAGACTACATAGATATTATTTTACCTGCAATATGTCGTTTTTTTGTTGTTTGATTATGTTCGACTTTTTCTGATTGTTTATTGCATGATAGTTGAGATTCACCATCAGTCAAATCAACTGATGGAGTGATCATATTTTTAATCCAACGTTTTGATCGTTCCTCTCCACTTGATGTTGTAGAATGTGATGATGATATATGTTTTGTTTCTGATCGATTTGCTACAGGTACTTGCTGCTTATTTAATCTTGCAGAACGATATAGTTTTCCATCTTGAGATGACGAATTAACTGGAGGTAACTTTGATGTTGATTTATGTTCAAGATCAGAATCTGTTGTTGATATATGCTAATATAGAATATGAAAAGATAAATTTTTCAAAAAAAACACTAATATTGATAGATGATTTACTTTTCCGTTATGTTGTTGATTTTTGGATGAATTTAAAGCAATTGGTATTATAACAGTTTCGTCTGTATTTGAAGTTGATTTTTCTCGTGACTGTCGTCCAGAATGTCGTTGAAATGGTGATTGGTGTTTTGAATTTTTTTCAGTTGATGATATACGTTCTTGTTTATGTTTATCAGATGTTCGAATTTCTTGATTAGATGAATCAGATTCGTGTTTGATTAATTGTTGATTTTTTTCGTTTCGATTTAATGCTAATTGATGACTATCGTCATTAATAGTAATAGGATTTGACTGTGGTTCTTCTTTAACAGAACTGTTACGGCGACTTGATACTTGAGGTGAAGAGATTTTAACAAAATTTGAATAATCAGGACTATAAGAAAAAAATTGATTTTATAAAAAAAAGAGTTGGATTTTTCTCTCAGAACCTTGATGATTGATTCTCTCGAGTTACACTTGTTGGACGACTAAAACAAAACAATATACATTGATTTTTGAAAGTTTTTAAATTTACCTTAAAACCTGTTGTTGTTGATCAGCCGGACTTGTTTTTCGACTAACTGGCTGACTAAAAATAGAAAATAATAATCTTTAGTTTAGTGATGTTAATTAATTAAAAATTATTTTTTTCAACCTCGATAAGTTTCTTTCCTGTTGATCAGATGAACTTTGTTGATGATCTGGCAATTGTTGTTTCGCACTTTGACTTTCTCGGCGACTGCATACTTGTTCTTCCACAACAAAACTTTCTTGTTTACTTGAAGCTTTCTGTTCGGAGTTTGCACTATTCTTTCGACTAGCGATTTTTTGTTCACTACTAACACTATCATGTCGACTGGGTAGTTCTTGTTGTGAAGTAAAGTTTTCTTCGTTATTTAAAAGTTGTTTTTCAGAAGTAATACTTCCTTTTCGGCTGGATGACTTATGTTCGATGTTTTCACTGTCTCTTCGACTGGAAACTGGTTGTTCAAAAACAGAACTCTCACGATAACTAAAAATAAAATTTGATTATGAATTTATTCTAAACAAGAATTGTTACTTAGTTGATTCTTGTGATATTTTACTATCCCGCCTATTGGTGGCTTGTTGTTCTTGAGAACTAAACCAAAAGTAAAAAACAAATCTTTTTTTTCTTGTTTTAAAATGAATATTTACTCATTGGATTCATCTTGTTGTTGTGGTTGCTGAGAATCACTAGTTCGACGACTATTTGATTTCTGTGATGGTTGTTCAATAGTTTGACTTCCATGTTGACTATAATCACAATTGAATATTCAACTAAATTTAAAAATTTAAATTCCTGTACCTTATTGATTTTTCATCAGCGATATTTAATGATTGTTGACTATGATTACTTTCTCGTCGATTGTTCGATAATATACTATCTTCATCTATGATTTTTTCGTTGCTAATGCTACTTGTTGCAGACATTTTTCGACTTGCTTCACTTGTTGATCGAGATCGACCTTGTTCTTTTTCATTAATATGACTTAATAATGGATTAAATAATACCATAGATTTAATTCCTGCTGATAGCGGTGGTGGTGGACTATTCATACGTTCATTATTAAAATCATGTGTTGGAATTAGAAGTTGTATTCCAGATTTAATACGTTTTGGTTGGTCGTGTGCTGCTGTAAAATCATTTGTAGGAGTACTACTTGATTGAGATGTTTGTTGCTCATCATTCTTATGTGCACTTTCTTGCTGTGATATGGGTGAGTTTATTTCAGCTGATGATTGAATGTTTTCATTTTGTTGTTGTTGTTGTTCATCTTGTTGATTGTGATCCGAAAAAACGGGTGAATCGGTTGTATTATTATTTGAAATTAGACTTTTCGTATCCTCCTTATCATTTATTTGTGAATGTGTTGATGATTTACGAGAATTGTTAGGTGTTGGTGAGCGTGGACGATTAAGTGATGATATATCATGTAATGAACTTTGAGCACTACTTGCTATTTCTTGATTAATGTCATCAGCTAAATTTGTTGGATCTATCTGAGTATGCCCTTCATCACCGGATGTTAGTGGCTAAAGGAAATAATCATCAAAGATATTTTATTTAATGAACTATAAACTAAAATTACTTCATCTAATGTATTATGAAACAATTGTTTATTAGTTGGTGATGTTGTATGAAAACGTGCCGTTTCATCTAGATTATTTGGTTTAATAATATTTGATGAGTCTTGATTAGAATCAGTAGTTCCTGTTTCTGTATCTAACAACTCATGATTACTATCTAATGGATTATTTATATGATTTCCTTGTTCTGATGGATGTTCATTTATATGCATAGGAATATTCGTTGGTATAGATTGTATTTCATAAGTATCATCATTATCTGATAAACTTTCATCTTGTCGAATAGGTAATGGCTGTTCAATTAGTGTATGATGATCAACTAAAGCTGATTCACTTAATGATCGTACTGGACCTTCAGTTTGATTATTTGATACTGAATCTATCTGTGTCGAAGGATCAATAGTTGGCATAGAATTATTTGTTTCTTCATGATGTAAATGATTAGATGTTATTGATTTATGTGGAATATTAGTTGTATCATCACCAGATAGTGATCGTATATCTTGAATAACATCATTCATTTTCTTTTGTATATCTTCATCGTCGAAATTATTATTATTAGTTGTTGATTGATTGAATTGATCTGATATTGTTGTTGTATCTTCTGATGTACTTTGTTTTGATGTTTGAAGATAACTAAAACTAAATATTTTTTTCTTAAAAAATAAACTGATGTTTTCATTCTACTACTTACTGTAATTCATTAGTATTATCTAAATTTTCATCATGATTTTCACTTGCTGTTTTGCTTGCATCTTTTATAATATTTGTTGTTAATTCATCTGCATAGATTTCCATTTGTTGAGGTTCGTCTATAGGAAATAAACTATACAATATTTATTTAAAAAATTAATCTACTAGAATCAGGAGTCGATGAATGGTTTTCAAGATCATGCAATGCTTCAAGAGCAGATGATTGAGGCATTTGCGTTTTATCTTCGTTTTCGTTCATATTTAAATTTTAGAATGAATCAAAATTGTCTGAAAAAAACATGAAACTAGCGGGGATATAATTGAAGATATCGATAATGGTGTCAAACATCAGCTGAAGAAATCTGTTAATTATCTAAACATTTTTTTTCGCACGAACGATTGCTACATAGTCAGATGTATTACAATGAATAGAAATATGATCACTACTTTATACTCACTTGTCAATAGTAATGATGATGACAACAGAAGACAGCAGAAAAAAATGAGTGTGTCTTTATAGTACTTAAAATAAAATGAAGACTTTTTCGTGTTTCTTTTTTTATTCAAGTAAAATAGTAACCAATGAAAGAAAGAAGAATATTATATATATATAACGAAATGAAATTATTTTGTTGTATTAATACAAACTAGCATATGAAAGGCTGCAATTGAACAAATAAAATAAGATGAAATAAGATTTTAGTAACTTAGACTTCTTTTTCTTGGTAGACGATATGCATCAATAAAACTCAATTATTTCTAATTGTTTTTCTGTTTTTTTTACCTTTTTTTATTGTCAAACTGTTGTCATAGGGAAAGGTGTTGATAGAGTATTGTCTGATTTATTATATAAAGTAAGTCTGTTTTCCAGTGCAAACGAGAATACTATTTGCCGGTGGTTCATTCTCGTTATTTTTCTCCGTGCATTATCGAGAGAAATACGGAAAAAGCACAAGGAGAAAAAAATCACAAGAGACGGTGATTTTTCTTTCTCTATCGCCATATTTATATATTTATTAAATGGTAAAAGTTCAAAGAACAAAATTTATATCACGACTAAAATTTAACATGAAATTTTGTTTTCATACTTACTTACTATTATTCTATTGTATAGATGAAAATTTAATTGATATAAATGAATCAACAAATGTACTTGTCTTACAAAAAAGAAACGAAATGATTCGATTAGTATGAAAAAAAAGTAATTACTGGTTGTGAAGTCAGACAAAGTAAACTAAATACCAATGAGATTTTATTTGATTCTATCGTAAAAAATTCAGTTATTTGTTGAAAAGTAATTTCAATTGTAATATATTTTACATAATAAAAGAGTTTGATATAAGAAGAAACGGTCTTATCATTTAATTAAAATATTATGAAAAGAAGTCATCAGATCAATTAAGTTTTTTTTTGGTTTGATTTTGTAATTCAATATTAACTAAATAGTCAAAGTTATTTTTTCAGTCTTCAACATTGTATAAGGATCGTATGAATTTTTTCCGTTGTCGATTTCTTTTTACAATTTCAATGTTAAAATTGGTTCAGGTACAACTTTCAGAAACAAAACATGTTAGAAATCGATATTAAACATTTTTTCCTATAGAAATAAAAGAAATATGTGTTAGAGTTTGTATAATATTCAAAATGACATGTTGAAATCTTTGATATTATTCATCTATAAATAACTGAAATAATTATTTTATAATGAAGACTATTACAGAAAATTAACCCTACATTTATATTTCTTGATAAGAATTTATAATCATAATTTGTAGAAATAACACAGAAGTAACAAATTCAATTTTTACAAAATTAATATAACTATTTGTTTATCTTACTATATGGACTTTTCTTTGTACTATAAAGATCATTAGTGCCCATAAATAAAATCTTCCAAATTGTTAATTACCTTTTTACAGAAATATATACATGAATGTATAGAGTCTATTGTATTGATTTTGAAGTATCAAAATCCTGATATCTTTACGAGTCTTTTGTGTCATAACGACTAATTCTCTTTTAATAAAGGTAGTTTCTATGAGATCTGAGTTCTAGTCAGTGATAATAAAAATTAATTTTAAGAAGGCACGTTTGTATATTTTATCCTTCTTGAATCTAACTAGAAACTTAGGAGTGACGTCGCAAGTAATGATAGAAGTGATACATATTACTTTACCAATAGTATGCATATCCTTCTAAGAATGTAGTTGATATTAAAATAGAAAATCATCTTACAATATAGTGCAGAGGATATACATAAAGAAATGCCGTAATCATCTTAAGCCATATGAATTTATTGAGAATATTTACGATACATATATCATACCGTATTAGCCTGAACTCTGTCACATATTTGATTTTATAGGAACATATATTTGTAAAATTTCAAAAAAACTCAAACAAGCATAAATAGATCAAAGATAAAGGCCTGATATTTATTTACACAAATTTTATGATCGAATAGATATATCCGTAATACGACCATCAAAACTTAATGTAATATCAACCAAATCATCAAAGAGTGAAATAGTAGTTTTAAATGAACTTAGTAGATTAATTGTTGAATCAACATAACGATTTCGTGGACATCCAGAAACATTAGCTTGTGTGACAAGACGAAGTTAATTAGAACCAATACGTGACATGTCGACTAAACTATGCATTGTTCCATATCTTGTTTTAGTTGTCGTTACCAAAACAATTTGATACTCATTGACAGATTAGAAAACAAGAATTTTATTTTAAGAGTATCTCCACATACTACCCACAGACAAATGTCTACTTTTTAAATTTAATTCCTTTGATCTTTGATATTATATACATATAAATAATCTTTGATCTCGGTTGCCTCCATTCTCTTTTTATATAATCTTATACAAAATGGAGAAGAAAATATTATTTTTCGTTCGCTGTTCTTTCGAAATGTTTAAACAAAAAAAACTTTTAAGTGTTTGAATGTATAAATACCATGTGCTGGTTAAATAAGAATGTGTTATTTTTAAAATTTCAGAACAGAAATGAGAATATGAGTTTCTAACATGACTGATTTTTTCTTATGTCCACCTAGTTATTTTATCGAAAACAAGAGATATTCGACAAATACTGTATTTGTTTTCTTTAAATATGAAATGAATTTTCTTTTTGATTTTATTTGAATTTACCTTCAGGAGATTTATTTGTTAATAGAAGAATATAACGATTTTAGGATTGAGCTCATAGAGAAGTTTATTTTATATAGCTATCTATCCGTTCTAACTGTAATAAAGATTAAAAATGAGCACAATAAAAATTATTAGAATAAATAGAACGAAGCAGCGTTGAAGTTTATCTGTATTAAACAAAGGCTACCATTTAAATGTATGATCAGTAAAGTAAATGAATGATTAGTATTTTATTTAAATGGTTAGTATAAAAACTGAAATGTATTAAAATGTGATTTACTTTTTTTTCTTTTATTCTATTATGTTATACAAATGGTAAATACGATATATATATATTTATTTCCTTTCCTTCACATTAGAATATTTTCTACACGTTCTCTTCTCTCGATATAGCTTAAATACTTTTCTTCTTATTATGTTATCTTCCCACTGTTGTAGATTTTAGGCTAAATCGTTCATACATATATAGTTGCCGTGAGCGCGAGGGAGCAGAAAAGGATGGGTGTTATGAAGTAACTATTCACCAATACGCACATCCTTCTATCAATCAACATTTGTTCTCTAGGATAAAATATTTGCCTATTTATTTAAAACCGAATACTAAATTATAAAATAATTTTCATTCTAATTGTTTATTCTTAGCAATGACGATCGATAAACAATCACGCAAACTACGAATATGGATATTTACTTGTTTCCTCCTTATCATCACTATCCTTATATACATAAAACTTGGTACAAATATTCTGTCGAAGAAGCCCCTTACACAAGTATCAACAACATTATCCTACTCTTCATCTGATTTCACTTCAAACAGATCAATGAGAGATTTGTCTAATCAAACAAAGCCATTCAATAACGTACCAAATGAAGCATTTCTTACATTTGTAGATAATCAAAGAAGTTATATTATTCTACTGGAACATTTAATTGATTCCGTACATCAGTTTTCCACGCGACATATTATAGTGTATGGAATTGATGTTGATCTCGATATAGATATAAAGAAATATCCACGTTTAATTATACGACGTCTGAATAGAACAGGTTGTAGTCATTCGATATATTTTTGTAAAATTTATGCTATAGTTGAAAGTAAATTGGATTATGGTATACATCTTGATGCTGATAGTTTGGTTAATTGGAATATTGATATTCTGTTTGATGTTGTTCATCGATGGCCATATGATTATCCACTTGCACCTCGACACCCTGGATCTCAATTAAATTACAATTCGTTTTTAAAATTATTTAAACTTGAGTTTAAAGATCGCACTACACCTTATGTCCATGCACAATTCTCATGGAACTATCGAGTATATCCATTTTTTCAAAAAGCACTTCGATTAATGCAAGACCGACAATTTCTAGGAGCTAATTATGATGAGTCAGGTATTAATATACTCTTATGGAAAGCTAAAGCTACATATACATTATGCAAAGTTGATCCACATTATTCTTATGTATCAGATTATATATCACAAAAGACAACGTGTGGAAAACAATGTTTGAATGCATTCTTTATTGTTCATGGCCTGAGGGATAAAAAAGAAATGCGTAATATACTTAAACAGATAAAAAATCATACTGGATTACCATATATTCAAACAAACACCGAAGGATTTCATTATCTGAATGAAACAAAGTATACATGTTGTCATCCAGATAGTAAACCATCATCAATTCATCCGCTTATTTGTGAATATCCACCACGGAATACTTCATATTAAAATTTGTTTTGTTGTTTTATTTATTAAATAGTTTAAACTATTGTATAGATAATATTTCTTAGAAAAAGATACTTTTTCCTAACCATCGGTTTTCTATGTTTTGAAAGATATTTATTGTTGTTTTTGTTATCAATGAAATATTGTTAATGGAATTTAAAAAAGTCATGTGTGATAATAAAATTATTGAAATTCAAATACTAAATATACACATTTTGCTGAGGGTGATGATTTCTAATTGCATTTACAGTAAATCACAAATTCTAACATAGAGCATACACAAAAGTGCAGTTTTATTTGTAAGAAAAAGATAACTTTTGCAGATAAAAGAAAGAAAAATTATTTTATTATTAACGAATAATCCCTATGACTCTCAGATTTCGAATAGAAGAATTTGAGTAGAACAATATAGGAAATAGATTATACTTAGGTAAATTAAGACAGAATTCATCCAATTATGCAATGCATTGTTTCACATCTTGTTTTAATTATCGTTACCGAAACGATTTGGCACTAATTAAAAGATTAGAAAGTTTCAGTCAACTAAAATACCTATACATTACTTCTGCATATCGATAATTAAACTCTGATGATATTATAGAAAATTAGAATTTTATTTTGAGAGTATCTCGACATACTACCCACAGACAAATGTCTACTTTTTAAATTTATTTTCTTTGATATTATGTATATATATATATACATAGTCTCTGATCTTTGTTGCCTCCATTCTCTTTTCATGTGAGCTTATACAAAATGGAGAAGAAAAATATTATTTTTCTTTCGCTCTTCTTTCGAAATGTTTAAATAAAATGACTTTTAAGTGTATGAATGTATAAATACCATGTGCTGGTTGAATAAGAATGTGTTTTTTTGAAATTTCAGAATAGGAATGAGAACATAAGCTTTTAATATGCTTGACTTTTTCTTATGTCCAACTAGTTATATTTGATCGAAAACGAAAATTATTCTGCGACTACTGCATTTGTTTTCTTTAAATATGAAATGAATTTTCTTTTTGCTTAATTTGCTTATTAACTTTGACGATTGAAAACACTAAAATATTTTATTTTACTAAGGGAGATAATAGAAGATCTCGGATCTTCTAACGTGTCAGGAACTTTAGTAAATTCATATGAATCACCATTTTCTCTCTAGAGTAAGATGTTTGTCTATTTATTTAAAAGCGAATACTAAATTATAAAATAATTTTCATTCTAATTGCTTATTCTTAGCGATGACGATCGACAAACACTCACGCAAACTACGAATATGGATATTTACTTGTCTCCTCCTTATCGTCACTATCCTTATATATATAAAACTTGGTACAAATCTTTTATCGGAAAAATCCCTTACACAAATATTCACAATATTGTTCTTCTCTTCGTCTAATTTCACTTCAAATAGATCAATGGAAGATTCATCTAATCAAACAAAACCATTCAATAACGTACCAAATGAAGCATTTGTTACATTTGCTAATAATGAATCTAATTATAATACTTTATTAATAAACTTAGTCGATTCTGTTCATCGATTTTCCAAACGACATATTATAGCGTATGGGGTTGATATTGATCTTGATCTAGATATAAAGAAATATCCACGTTTAATTATACGACGTTTAAATAGAACAGGTTGTAGTCATTCGATATATTTTTGTAAAATTTATGCCATAATTGAAAGTAAACTGGATTATGGTATACATCTTGATGCTGATAGTTTGGTTAATTGGAATATTGATATTCTGTTTGACGTTGTTCATCGATGGCCATACGATTATCCACTTGCACCTCGACATCCTACACCTCAAGTAAATTACATGACATTTTTGAAAAATTTTGAACTCGAATTAAAAGATCGCACTATACCTTACGTTCATGCACAATTCTCATGGAACTATCGAGTATATCCATTTTTTGAAAAAGCACTTGACCGAATGCAAGGACAGCAATTTCAAGGAGCTAACTTTGATGAATCAGGTATTAATGTACTCTTATGGAAAGCGAAGGCTAGACATACACTATGCAAAATTGATCCATATTATTCTTATGTATCAGATTATGTATCGCAAAATAAAATATGCAGACAATATTGTCCGACAGCATACTTTATTTTCCATGGCGGCAAAACTGAAAAGCAGATGCGTGATACACTTGATCAGTTAAAAAACCATACTGGATTACCATATATTGAAACAAACACCGAAGGATTTCATTATCTGAATGAGACAAAGTATACATGTTGTCATCCAGATAGTAAACCATCATCAATTCATCCACTTATTTGTGAATATCCACCACGGAATACTTCATATTAAAATTTGTTTTGTTGTTTTATTTATTAAAGATTTCAAAACATTCTATAGATAATATTTTCTAGGAAGACATAGCTTTTACTAATTATAGATTTTTTTATGTTTTGAAAGATATTTATTGTTGTTTTTGTTATGAATGAAATATTGTTAATGGAATTTAAAAAAGTCATGTGTGATAATAAAATTATTGAGTTTCAAATACTAAATATGCGCATTATGCTGAGGATGATGACTTCTAATTGCATTTTTATTTGTGAAAAGAATAATTATAGCAGACAACAAAAAAAACCAATTGCATTTTCTCAGAATACTAGAAAACCTTGAAAGTAATTATGATATCTGAATATTTGTATTTATAGCAAAATAACTCATCACAAAATGCAGTTCATGGTAAAGATAACATAGTAAAAATTAATAATAAAAGAAAGAATATCACATATGACTATATAAATGAGTTAGAAACTCCTAATGGTATGCCGGTCCTTTCTTACGTCCTTAAAGCAATCTATCAACGACTTTACACGGAAAACTATTGCGCTGACAGTATTTTTGTGATACGTAAGTAGTTACGATCTAGTACAAATATGATAGAAACGATTTTTACGTATGCATATATGGATAACAATATTATCGAGAAATAAGTCATTTATGTTGTTTGACTACGTGAAAATGTATTATAAGAAGATAGCATTGTTTATCATTGCAAAGTTATAACTATAATAATTGAGTAATCAAATTAAAAGTTCTATATTCGATAAGAATGACATTTATGACAAGAGAAATCATTATTGATGCAAGTTTTTGACAGCTTAGAACACGGCGAAATACAGTCATAAGACTGCGTATACTAAAGAAATGTTAATATAACTAAATATAGGTGTATCGTTGTCATTTACGACCATTTACATTAACAAATGCAGTCGTTTATAATCGTCATAATAATTGAACTAAGATAGTCTTTGTCAGGCTAATCTTTTTTTGGCTTAAATCTTTTAAGTCATCGAAATAATAGAAGCCATTGCTTAAAAATTGTAAACATTCAAATTTCTCATGCATCAGAGTATATTTGAACAAGTAACTAGTTTAAATTAAACTACTTCATTTATCATACCAACAAATATATGTATTGTGTCTGTACCATTTTTGAAAAAAAGAAATGACCTGTGTAAATGAAAAGGAAATACATCATTAATTTTAATTGTATGATTTAATGTTTACATTTCGACTAAAACTATATGTCTACAGGCAAAATAAACAATATCAATTGTTCTCATATGACTATCATTTCATACAGGAAAATTATTTCTGTTTTGTTTTCCTATACTAAGCATTGTTTGAATTTCCGTATTTATCGACGAAACAATCAGAATTATTTTTAATGGTTTGGTTATTTCCTGTTTTACAAAGGACAAATTTTGCTTCAATATAAAAAATCAGTAATGCTACTATTTATTATAAACTTTAATTTTCTTCGATCGATAGATTGATGAACATTTCTCTTAAAAGTCATTTTTTATATCTTATATTCATGAATAAGTATATTAAAAAAAAGTAGTATCTATTTCTTCCATTTTACCTAATATTTGATCTTCTCATTTAACAACAAGCTAACAATCAAGAATAATAAACTAATAAAAAAATACAACTGTAATATAATCTTCACAGTTGGAAGCTAATAAAACAGAAGCATATTATTAGCATCATTAAGTGTTCATACAACATTCTAACTTTTTTTTTATTATTAAAATCATAGAGGAAATAATTATTATTCACAATAGCTAATTATTCACATACTTCACTTTATCTATCACTACTAATTGCTTGTGCGTTATTAGAATGCTAATAAAAAGAAAATTTTTTTTTTTTGAAAAAGATAAGATTTTTTTATCAGTAAATTTTTCATTTGATCTTTTATTTATAAATTGTAATAAAAATAAAAATATTAACATTTGAAAAAAAAAATTAATTGATTTTCTTTTAATGTACCATATAATTTGCTCAATCCTCTACAATGTCGTATTAACTATTGTTCATTTGAGAGAAGTAAACGAATGAATGAAAAAAGAAAAATATTAGTAAAAGAATGATTCAGACAAGTATTTTATAAATGAGTCAGACACATACTCTTACCTAAGTAAAACAAAGTATGTAGATAAACAGAACAAAATATTTCTTTTCGTATCATACTATGACAAATATTTCTTTTCTATTTTAATTGTTTATGAGTAACGGTAGGTAATATGAATTCTATTTTATATTTCTGACTTATTTCATATGTCTAAGAATGTCAAAGTATTAGACATCTGTTTTTTTTCTAATCCTTACACAGGTTTTCGTTTTTTCTTTTTTTTATGTCTATCATATCGAAGATTTAAACGACTCTTCGTTATAGATTATTTTCTTTTCTTTTTCATTATCCCTATGTATAGTGTTGGAGTGATTACACACAACACTATTACTATTGAATCTAATCTTTTGCGCCTTTCCGTTTGACATGATCGATCACTATTACTTCTTCGTCAATAAATATACCCGACGTCTGATCTTTTTCTTTTCTTATCGTCACTTCTTTTTTTTTACGTTGAGTAGCATTTTTTTTTTTGGCACTCTCTGACATTTCAATTGAACATTGAAAGAATAGTGATGGAGACGACGACGACGCTGCTAGGGTTATACAACCATACCTTTACATATGCACACACTCATATACATCTATGTATATAACACAACAATGTGATATGCAGAATGAATGAACAAACGAATATGATCCGCTTATAGGCGTGTGTACAATAGCAGAGAGAGAGAGAGAATAAGGGCGGTAGAAAGGGTGGGCTAAGAGGGAACAATCAGCAATTCTTTTTTTTTCTTCTTTCTCTTGCGTTTTTTTCTCCTCTTATTGTGTTCACCATCTTATACACACATCTTGTCGTCTTTGCTTGGTCAAATAATAATAGACGATGATCAACTATCTGAGCATTTGAACAATCGATTGTTTGAAGTGAAAAATAAAATGTATCATTATAAACAACAAATCAAAGTCAATTGTAAGTTAGGTTTGTATTAGTTTTTTTTTGTATCGTAAAATTACGTAAAGAAGAAAAAGAAAATATCTGAGTACGGTACGTCGAGTAGTTCTTTTTCTTTTCTTCTTTTTTTTTTGTTGTTTTTCTACTTAGAAAAAGAAAAAAAAAATGCGGCATACATCATGTCACATCGTTTCATCAGCATCTATCAACAAAACACTTCGTTATGATTCTTTCTTCTAAAACTTCCATCATCATCATCAGTTACTTTAGTGTACTTGTTTTTGTATTTTTCTTCGTTGACAATTTTCTTTTTCGTAGGCATTTACATATAATCATGTATTTTAATTTCTAAATATACAAATGAATTGCGACTATGTTTTTGTGTATTTGGTAGATTTTCTTTCTTTTTCTATGAAGAAAATCAAGAACATGCATATATTTGTGTTTTTATGCGTGTTTTATGACAAATATATGAGTTAATATATATGTAGGCAGAAAAGGAAAATAAAAAATTTGTCGTTTAATATAATTCATATAAAAAAAATATATTAAGCCATGTCATCCATTTCTTTTTTCTTCTTCTTATAGATCCAATGGCAACTCCACCTAATGTACCACTATCGTCTAAATCACGTGGTCATTCACTATTTGATCGTCAAGCACAATTACACGCGCATGATCCAGAGAAACCACTTAATGCAACTATTTCCGATATTCCTATACCTTTACCAACACTTAAAGCAGCTCATTCAGTATCATCAGCATCTACTTCAACATCATCTACTACGTTTCATCACCAGCATTATTCACCACCTGAAAAACATCGTCGATTGCCATTAACATCTACCGAATCGTACGCACATACAAATGACAATACTGTTCAATTGTTAAGTGTTCATCCTCGACCTGAATCTGACTATATCAAAGAAGTGCCATCACCATCTCTGTCAGCACTTGTACCACCGACAGCTCCATCTAAATTACTTGAAACTGATTTTCCTCTATATGAAAATGTTACACCAGTCGAATCAGAAAAAGTAACAAGTGAAAATGTAATACCAAATGATACTTCATCTGTCACTATTGTTGAACAAGCTTTTGATTATTTAACATCTCATGATGATGATGATGATGTTATTCATGAAGAAACTAATATTGAACAAGATGATTATAGTTATAGTTTCGATGATGAAGATGAAGATCATAGTATTATTACAAATGATCTTGATGCAACAACAGGCATTCATATTCATCAAAATGATAGTAAGTGTATCCGTTATATAATTTTAATCTAATGAAATTTTTCTCCGCAAAAAAATATCGATAATTATCTAATAGAATTCATTTTTTCCCCATCGAAATTCTATTACATTTACAACGATTCAGTTCTTAAATTAAGATATATTACAAAGTATGAATGACATCTATGTCATATTTATGGTTCTATTAAGAATTTCTCTTTTTTTTTCTATTCCTGTCATATGTTTTATCTAAAGAATAGTAGGTATGTCGTGCTTCATACATCATATAAAGCTATCTTTAAAAGGATTGACCTTGGATGTTAACGTAACGGACATATTGCTTGTTGCCGATGTGAACAGATGATGCCTGAACATGCAAAAAAAGTCTTATTCAATTGTTTATATTGTTTTAATGCAACAGAGGAAATATATGAATGAATAAACGAGAATTAAATTTGCATTTTTCTCCAAGGCATGAAAAGAAGAGAGAGAGGGGAAAAAAAGAAATCTCTTTCTGTTATTTTCAAATTGATCCTTGTATCATTTAATTAAAATTACTAAATTGTCAGAATCATTCTGTCAAAAAATAGATTGAGAAAATGTTTGTATCATTTTGTCAATTTTATATGGTTGCTGAATATAACATAGAAAAACAAAATTAACATGATGAGAATCTCGTAAGATGATAAGCTTAACATAGATAAAATTTAATACAATTTCTCGGTAATAATAATAATCTAACTCGACCTTGTCATTGCATCGAATGACTAAGTATTCTTATATATATAATTTTTTCCTTTTCATTCAAATGCACGTACATCCTATTCTTCATGTTGATCAATTGTCTTAAAACATATAGATAAGACAATTTTTAATCGACACGTTGTTTCTTTTTTTTTTATGCCTAACAAAGATTCAAAGGTTTCATTTTTCTACAGGTGCTGCTAGTCATACATTATCTTCAACAGAAATCAATGATAATACTCAACAAATAAAAATGGCATATGCAAATCAGGGTACAATTAGTGAAGAATATGATAGTGATTTTGATAATTCTTCGCATGAAGATGATGAACAAATACCACATAAAGATTCAATAAATGAATATGATGAAGAACAACAAAATCAAATAATTGTATTTATTTGTTTTGTAACATCGAAATAATAATTATGATTTATTTAGTTACGACAACAACAACTTCTTTGGGGAATTGTACAAGAATGGTTAAGAAAAGAAGAATTATATTGTGAACAATTAAAAACAATGGCAGAACAAGTAAATCTTTTTGTATTCTTACTAATTATTATTTATCTTTCTATATACAAGTTTAATCAAGTAGCAATTCCAAGTAATTTACACAAATTAATCGAACAATTGATTGTACAACATAAAAGAGTTTATCAAGAAATCGAAGATTTACATGACTGTGATCATCAATTCGAAAAATTAACAAATCAATTAACACATACTGTTGAAACATTAGTATGACGAATTACTATTTCACTTTAAAATTTTATATTTTATTTCACATAGATGGAAACACTTCCAGTATATACTGAATATATTAAAATGAATTTAGCACCTATTAGAAAACTACTTGATAAACGTTCGAATGTCAATGGATTATCTAGTGAAGGTTTGTTTATTAGGAAAAATAAGATTTTTATTTTCATTTAATTTATTATGTATTAGATCTTCTATCGATTCCTCCAAAACAATTTCTTCAAATACTTTCTCAAGTTCAAGTAACTAGAAATATTTACTTTTGAAATTGTTTTCAAAATATATTATTGCTAATCTAGGATTTATATCAGACATCACAATCATTTGAATCTGATGATAAAAACAGTATGCATAGTTTATATAATCATGCTCAAAAATGTAAAGCATATGGTGTATGTATTAATTGAAAACATTTTGATTTAATTAAATTTATGGGTTCTTTTTTCATCTTTAGAGTCAACAAGATGAGAATATAAATAAAGTTATTTTAAAAAATGAAGATGTTGTAACAATGTCTGCACGAGAAAAACGTGATCGGTGTCGATTAATACTATACCCTGATGCAATTGTTTGTTGTAATTTAAAACCGAAATTACTGACCAGGTAAACTTCATTTCTTATTCAAAATAGAAAAATGATGAAGTTTAAAAGCATAGATTTATCTGTGATTAAAAAAAACGTTTTTTTTTCTAGTCCAAAATATACTCTTCTTTGGTATATATCAATGCTTGATTTACATTGGACTATACCTGAGAATTCTGATGATAATGTTGTAACCGGTGGTAAGTTTTGCTAATTTATTATTCTTATAATTCTTATAGAATAATTTTAGATGAATTAAAAATGAATCTTAAATCAAATTATCGAGAATTAGAAAAAACACAAAAAACAAATGTAAGTTTTCAAAGAATTTAAAATTAACTAAACTATTTTCTTTAGGCTACAATTACAACTCGTTTATCAAAAAATATTCGTAGACAAGAAAGTGAATTTCATCTTGCACAATCAAAACTTCAACTTATATTATCGAATTCATGTCGTTCATCAGCACCACCATCAATTATACTTTTTTCATCAGCATATCAACGTCAAGATTGGATTGATTTAATTGATAAAACAAAACAAGATCTTATACAACGTAGTTCAGCTAATTTAAATCAAGCAAATCATCCACAACGTTTAAATGATTCTATTATACAAAAACGTTTAGATTTTATAAAACCAAATTCACATGAAACAAATCTAAATGAATTACCATCGACTATTCAAACAGCAACACCAAGTAAAACATATTCAGGTACATTATGTATTACAATACATAGTATACATGGTACAGCTTTATATAATCCAATAAGACAATATCAAACATTACCATTAATGTCCTCACCACAACAACAAATGGAAAAGAATTTTCAATTTTATGTAGCTGTTGAAATTGATTCATATAATACGTTTTATCCATATGCAAAAACAGCAAAACAAATTATGCAACAACAAGACACAGTTGAATTTAAAGGAGAGGTATTTACAAAATATAAATCATTGATTAGAATTTCCGCTCTTTATTTAAATGAATTCAAACAAATATTTAGCAGAGTGTGTTCCGAGTTTATTCGGTTCTATTAATAAATTGAGAGTATTCTCGTAACTTCTTATTTTCAAGACAAGCATTTGATATTTATTTATTTGATTCTCGATAAATAAATTATTTTTGTTTTGTTTAGGTATTTAATGTTGAATTAGAATATTCACTTGCTTTTCGTTTTCTTATCTATCGTATTGATACATCTCCTACAAGTAGAACTAATAGTTTACAACGTCCAGTATGTATTGGTAAATTTCATCGTGATGTAAGTTAGAAATATTCTTATAAAAAAAACCCTCTTCTATTGAATCTCAGATTGATACTGCATTACGTGATTGTCAACGTAGTCCAAGTGGAGTCATATATCTTGAATCACAATCAGGAGATTTAAAATTAAAAATGTCATTAAAATATTCCAAACGTGACGGAACATTTCGACGTCAAGCATCTAAACGAAGTCTTGCTGTTTTTGGTAAAAGTATTGAAAAATTAACAAGTACATCCAATGGACTGTATGCTTTAATATTGAATTTGAAAAAACAAAATCTAATTCTCATTTCTATTTAGTATTGATGGTATTCCACGTATCATTGTTAAATGTATTAATGTGGTTGAATGTGATGGTTTAAATGAAACAGGAATCTATCGTGTTTGTTGTGTTGCATCTGATTTACAAAAACTTCGTCATGAATTTGATCGTGATTCTCAACGTGCCGAAGGAATTTTAGCTCAAAAAAATGTTCATGTTGCTGCTAATTTATTAAAATTATTTTTTCGTGAATTACCTGATCCATTATTTAGTAGTATACTTTATAAAGATTTTTTACAAGCAATACAATTAACTGATATGGATTATCAACGTGTGACATTATTGAAATTAATTGATTCATTACATTCTGATAATCGAAAAATTTTATTCTATTTATTAGATCATCTAATACGTGTTAGTGAATATTCACATATAAATATGATGCATTTAGATAATCTAGCTGTTGTATTTGGACCTACATTAATGAGACCATCAAAATTAATTATAACAACAATTTATTCAGATAATAATAATCAACGTTTAAATAATAATAATGGACAAGTAAAACAAACTGATATTGATCAAATGTCAACTGAATTACAAGGTTCAATGTATCAATGTCAAGTTGTACTTGCTTGTTTGAAATTAAGACGAGATAAAATATTAATATAAATTTTGATTTTACTTTTTAACAATGAAATGAATGAAAAGCAGATTTTATGTATTTTTTTTGTTTGATTTTCTTTTGCATTCGTATATATATATACATATATCAGTGCCATTTTTTTACAATTATTTTTTTTTCTTTATTTGGTTTGTTTTTTTTAATGATGATAAAAAAATATCGATATGTGTGTGTATGAATTTAAAATAATATGTACATCTTTTATGTAATTACAAGTGAAATTGAACAATTGATGATTAGAATAAGAAGTAATAATTGTTCTCTATTAATTTTATTGTTATAAAATATTAAAAAAAAATAATACAATCAATATATAATATATTTTTACAGATTTGTATAGAAATTATACAATATTAAAAATATATTCGGATACATTTTTGTTTTCTAGTGAATCATTTTGAAATGTCATTATTTGTTCTTTTTCGAACTGTGTAAATAAGAAGGAATGTTTCTACTTTTTTATTTAAAAACAACTCTTTCTTTCTTTCTCGAAATCTGTAGAAAAGAATGAAAACTAGACCTCCACTTGAAGCAAGTTCAAGTAGGAGAAAGGCGGCTGACTGCAGAAGTCTAACAACTCTCATAAACGCGGAAAGTTGAACCATTTAAAATTTTATTTTATTTTATTCTCAAAATCGATTAATTAAACTCAGATAAACAAGTCATCGAATAATTACTTTTCATAGACTAGACTCTATCATGATGAATTTAAGTCAAAGAAAAAACGATAATTAAAATGTATATGCATATAGTATCTTATATATCAATGGTCATATAATACTGAGTCATAGATAGCCGTATAAGGAAATCACCATGTGTTAATTAATTTTTTTTTGAAACTATGTATCTCCCGCACGGAATCGAATTTCAAAAAACGGTTTTTAGATGTGCACTCAGCACGTTCTCACGAATATGGTAGTTTTTTTCCGATTGAAAATGTCGCTTAGGTACTGAGAACGGCTGGCAGAATTGAATCGTGACTCATCTGTCGAGAAGGAGAAGAAGAAGAAGAAGAAGAAGAAGAAGAATATCAAAAGCAATAAGTCGACTGCTGCACATACGTGCAGTCAGCCGCCTTAACTACTAAGAGCAAAAAGTCTTCTCGTATTGGATTAAAAAAGACTAAAAGAAAATAATCAACACTTTTCGATTCGTCTTTATATGTACGTAGTTACTTGAATTTATTATGCACATTCTTGCATTGCAAGTCAAAAATAAGAATGGTACATTGACTCAATAGAATTATTCATTTACATTAAGTTATTCTTGTTTTTGTTCAAATCATCTGACTTACTGGTAATTCGTAGAAACGAACAATATGTCTCAACCTATTAAAACAGGACATCTTCGTTACTATCATAGTAAGTACAGTTATTCTATTAATTTGAATAAAATATTTTTATTGCAGAGGGTTTATTATCTAAAAGCTGGAAAGATTATTTTTTTGTATTATTTAATGACTCTACGTTACAATGGTATGAAAAACAAAATAGCCCAAAAGCACAAGGATCAATACGTATTCGTGATATAGCTCAACATCTATGTGTTGGACCATATACACGATGTTTCCCTGATCGTCCACAACTTCCTCGACCAGCTGATGAACCTAATCTTATCGCCTTACCAAGAACATTACCTGGAAATAAAAATCAAGAGATAATATGGATACTTTGTAATGATGTTACACATTTAAAGTAAGACAAGTAATAAACTAGTAAAATTTAAAAAAACAGATTTTCTTCAGTGATTGGATGAAAGCCATTGTTTCTACAGTAAGTTCATTGCACTAAATTGTAGGAAAAATAAATAATAATTTCCTGTATTAAGTTACCCCCACCACCACAACAAAATCCACAACCACCATCTGCCCAGCCACAGGGTGGTGCTTATCGACCACCAGCTCCACAACAAGGTGCTAATTTTCGACCATCTGCTCCTCCACCACGTAATTTTATTATTTTCTCCAAAAGGATTATTATTTCTAGATGTTTCTCTTGATTTATTTAGCATCAAATCCTTATGGTCAACAACAACAACAACAACAACAAAATCGACCATTATATCCACAGCTACCAAACAATCAACAACCAAGTTATAATAATACAACAGTCGTTGTACAACCATCACCTGCATATGGTGGTACTGTAGGATCTAATGTACAAAATACAAGTAGTACTAAAAAGACTCTTCTTGCTGGAGGATTAGGTCTTGCTGGTGGAACATTACTTGGTGGTAAGCTTTTGAAAGATATATTATAGAAAAGTATTGAAATATATTTGGTTAGGTGCACTTGGTTATGCATGGGGAGGCGGTTTCGGTGGACATCATGGTTGGGGATATGGAATGGGTCCTAGTAATTATTATGGTGGTGGTGGTGGATATGGAATGGGATTTGGTAACATGTTTGGTGGTGGTGGTGGTGGTGGCATCGGGTAAGTCAAAAAAACAATTTTTTATGATAATATAATAAATCTGAGTAAAGATGAGACCTAATAAGTTTGAAAAATATATCGAAATATTTCAAATACTTTATGCAAATCATTTTCATTCTAGTGGATGGAATGATATCAATGATACAACGGTCATCAATAATTAGTATGTATATTTAGTATTATTAATATTATAGAAAATGTTTGTTTTTATTCTTCTCAGCTACGACAATGATACAACAAATAATTATACCAATGATACAACAAATAATGAATATTCAAACTATAACGATACGAATAATTATAACGGGTCTGGCAATCAACAACAAGACAATTCTCAATACGATAACAACGGTGGACAAGATACAGGATATAATAATAATGGTGGTGGATGTTATGATAATGGTGGTAATAATGGAGGTATGAAGCTATTTATGAACTATCTTTATTCAATTTCTTAATAATATTCTATAGATTACGGTAGTGGTGGTGGCGACTATGGTGGTAATACAGGTGATTACGGTGGTGGTAATACCGGTGATTATGGTGGTGGTGATAGTGGTAATTACGGCGGTGGTGACAGCGGTAATTATGGCGGTGGTGATACCGGTGATTATGGTGGTGGTGATACTGGCGATTATGGTGGTGGTGATACTGGCGATTATGGTGGTGGTGATACTGGTGATTATGGTGGTGGTGACAGTGGTGACTATGGTGGTGGTGATTATGGAGGCGGTGATAGTGGTGACTATGGTGGTGGTGATTACGGTGGTGGCGGCGATTGGTAAAACATTAATATAAAGTTGGAAATAAATTTCATTAACTATAAATGATCTTGTATATCATCATCAACAACATGATACGTTACATATCGAGTTTTTTCCTTTGTTTATTATTATCATGAAACAGACTTGCTTTCATTTTCATTTTCTATATAAAATACAAACTTTTTTTCTTTTTATAAAATTCGTATTTTCTACACATTAATTAATGTGTACTTAATCAAAAGCAATAGATGAAAGTTAACTGAAATTCATCATAAATAATTTTTCTAAAACAAATTTTTGAATTATTAAAATGGAAAATCAGTTGAATTGCTAATCTACTAGAACAATATGTTAATCATTTTCTAACCAATGTCCAATATCATATGACTGTTTAATTCAATAAAAATAGATATAAGAGGTGTTTTAGATACAGCAACAACTTTGAATGAGTGATAAACCCTATTGGTAGGTTTTGACTATTTTTCTTGGTGACAATCTTCTATTTTCCATTTTTCGAATCTCTCAGTTTAAACGAGATTTTTAGAAATTCATAGATACTATTCCGTTGATTTAAACAGTATGTAAGTACGACATATTTTATTTGTCAGATTAAAACTTTCATACATAAAACTCGTAAACAACAATAAAAGCAATATGAAAGTTCTGCAATGAATAAACATTGTATATTAATTAAACGATATTTAAATGTCACCAATTTACATTCGACATTATATTTTTTTAAAATCTATTCATTAATTGAATCAATCCATAGACAATGAAGACATTTTGGTACAGGACCATTAGTATTAAATTCAACACGTCCCATCTCTGTCATAGTTTGAGCATTAAGAATTAATAAACTTACTTCATTTTCATGGTTACTTCTTAATAATGACATAATTAAAACACCTTCATCTTCTTCTCCCTATGAAAATAAATTAAATAATTGCAACAAATCACTCGAATCTTACTGTTTCATCTGAAGGATTTCGTAGAAAAATTGGTTCTGATGTATAACATCCTGTTTCATGCCAAATTTGACATGTTTTCGAAAGAATATCAATTTTTCGAAGCTAAATAAATAAAATTCGTTAAGAAAACTTTTTTTCCTCCAAAGAAAAAATTCTTCATCTTACAGCTCCACAATATTTATAATCAACTTCACTATTAATCGCATAAAAAAATCGATAGAATTTTCCATAAAATCTAAAGTATTCAATTTGAGGTAATTCACAACCTAAATCAACAATTATTTCTGGTTCAATCCATAATTTTTTTCGATCAATTAATTTAATTTCACATGTTGTATAATCTAAACCATTGAAATTTTCATCTTCATGATTCATTCCAACAGGTAAAACAAATCGTTTTGGTCTACCACGAAATTGTTTATAATAATCCGGATTTTCTTGAGCATTCTAAACAAAACAAATTTTTAGAAAAAGAATCTTTTCATTTATAAATAAAGAAATACTTCAAGTGCTTCAATTGTCATACATTCAAGCATATCAGCATTATCATAACAACAAATATCAATAACAAGATGATTATTATCTTCATAGGCATTGATTATATGAAGAAAAAAGAATGCCGATGATAAATAAGTATAATCATTATATTCAGTCATTGTATGACGATTAATAAGTCGAAAACGAACCTAAATAAAATCAAAAAATAAATTTTCTACAAATAGAAAACCTTATGTTTTCTTTTTTTTATATACAAACTGGTTCATTTTCATGCCAAACAAGTGCATCTGTCATTGGACCATGTGTTATAGTAAGTTGAATAAGTTGAGCAAGAGAAATACAAAGTGATTGTTCGACAAGTATAATATAATTGTCAGTTACAGCAAATGTATGCATATAGGATGGATTAAATGGCCAACGACTTGGAATTTTTGTTAAAGTTTTACATTGATTCATAAGATTATCTTCATTATTTGAATTTGAAAAACCTAAATAATTAATTACAATAAAATTTATTTTTTTGTTCATTTAATAAACCTGGAAATTCAAATAGAACATAATTCATGCCCGTTAAACTTGATGCTAAACCAACATTAAGTATTGTTCCATCATTGAGAATAACTGCATGAGCACAATGAGAAACAATAGGTAGATGTTCACTAACATTAAATTTTGAACATGTTTCAATTGTTTTGGAATCTATTTCATGCATAATTGGAGTCTAAATCACACGAAAAAAACAACGATATGAATTATTTTCTGTCAAATTTTCTTTTTAAACCTCTGTCATAGCAAATAATCCTATTTTATCATTCTTGATTTTATATGGATAAATACTAATTAATGCATTATCTGTTCGAAAATCATTTTTAAAATGAAATAATTGCTGAATTCTAAATTAAAGAATTTATTATCTTATTAATTAGATTTTTCAAATGATTACCGTGTTAAAAACCAACTTAAACTTGATACAGATTCATGTTTGTTATTATAGGAATCTGATTTATCTTGATATTTTGATGTACCGTATTCAGAATAACATGATCGACCAGTTTTATATGCTTGTTTGTAAGCATCAGATTGAAGTATTCGATTTTGATATGTAACATGTCCATTTTTTATTGTAAATCTATTAGAAAAGAATTTTTATTTTATAAGAAAAAGTCAAATATTTGAAATACTTTTGTATGAGTGAGAAAGCATCAAATAAATGTTGAACACGTTTTCCTGTTACATCAAGTAAACCAGGACCATTCTGATATAAACAACCATTAATCCAATTCGGAATGATTCCTTTTTAAAAATATTTATAGAGAAAAAGAAAAAAAAAAGAATTTTATTTCATACCTGTTGTTTTTCCTTCGATAGGTGTTTCCGTAATATTATTTTCATTTACTGAACGAAACCAAATAGTAAAATCACAATTTGGATATATAATAGATTTTTCCATGTTTTAGTTTGTATGAAACTTACAACGTATTTATATATCTCTGATTATGTTGACAGATAAACAGTTTAACTTGTTTTTTTAGTCTAGAGAAAAGATTAGTATTATTGCGTATGAGCCAAGGAAAAGACGAGAAGAAATGAGTAGGCGTTTGTATGAATATAAGACGAGAAATTCCAGAAGAATAAAGGAACAGGAGTGATAAAACTGTTAGCATGTCAGTTGAGCATTTTAGCTGTTTGCATGATGAGTCATATTGAAGACATTTATTCTGTTTCAGTTGATAACTATAGAAATAATGATACTAATCCAAAGATTCAGATTTTATACATGAATAAAAGATAAACTTTTTGTACGCAAAGTCGTACTTTTGAACTTCGTTTAAATATTAGTCAAATGAACTATTTCTTATTTACTGTAGAGTTTATCTGTCGTATTATGTATGCATGACAAGAATGTGATGAATTATATTTTTCAAGAAAAAAATCCAGGGAAAAACAACGCTAGACATTAACTCATACATGTCATATAGATGAGAAAATTTTTAACATAAAAAAATTGAGGTAAAAGAGAAGTAGTATATGATCTGTTCATCTCAATAACATATGAATTGATCTTACGATGATTGTAGTTGTTAATAATTTTTAGTCTATGAAAATATCAGAATACTTAATCTTTGCCTATTTAAATTAGTGTAAAAGATGAGATAGATCAAACTTCATTCATATAAAATATAGCCAAAGTTCACTTATAGTAGTTCATATTTATTGAATTGTTTCCGATAGTAACTCATGTTGAAATATAGCACGTCAAACTGATCATCGTCAGAACATTGTAAAATACAATTCTAATTCCAATGTCGAATACCAGATGCTATAATAAATTAATATTATTCATATACATCTTATTTGATCGACTGATAGTGACGTCTATCTAATTCAGAGGAAAATAAAAATATCACATTATATCCGTTATAGTTCAGAAATATTTTCAGTTACAAATTTAAATTCGAATCCTTTTCTTTATTTTCAGTACATTCATTATTCTTCTTTTAATTATTTCTAGTATAGAATGTTTTGTGAACATCCGATATGTTCATTAGAAACTAATTCAGTTTGTACATACCATTGTCATTTACCTATATGTCAAAAACATCGATATGAACATGAAAAAAATCTTTTAAATGAAATCGAAAAACAATTAGTTGATCTTTCAGATCCTATATCAATTTTACTTTCTCAAACACGAAATGATCTTAAAGAATCGGAAGAATCACTTCAACGTGAATTAACTCGTATTAATTCTTTATTCGATTGTCATATATCTTCAATTGATCGACGTTTAAAATTAGCGAAGACAACGAATGAATTAATAATAACTAAACGTGAACAAATACTTCAATATAAAACTGGTGATAATCAATTAACTCAAAATGATTACCATCAAATAGAAACTATATCAAATGAAATAAGAAAAAATCTTCTTCAACTATATCAATTAAATAATGAAATCAGTAACCAAAATAGTAATATCGATTTATGGCCGATTGAACGTAAATTAAATCATTAAATTTTATATTCTTATATTAAATTTATTTTTTAGAAGAAAAATCTATTTCAACAAATATTGAATGTATTGTATTAACTGATTCTGAGTAAGAAAAGAACAGATCTTTTTATTTCGTGTATTTTCTATTAAATTAATCTTTAGAGATGAAATATTACGAAATACAGATCGTGAGAGATTATCATCAACGAACAGTACACATCAATTAGTAAAAATTATGTTTTTGAAATTTTATTTTGTAAAGATCTTTTATAATGTAGGCTCCTATTGAAGAGACACGAGAATTACCTTCAACTACATTACGTGATTTTTGTCCATTGACACAATATGGTGTATTTGGTCTTAATAGTTCACATAATATCGCACGATTATGTTCAAAAAAAAAGAAACAACAACTCTATTTATATAGACATTTTCGAAGAACTCATCATATTGAACCCGAAATAGCACATCAATTAATTAAAGCTATACGAAATAATTGTAATCCAATAGAAACAAAAATTTTTCCTCAAAATACTAATAGAAGAATTTCTATTGAAAATATTCGATGTCCATTTGATAATACTGCAAATGATTTCAATGAAGAAAATTCTATACCAAATACACCATGTTATATATATTGTGTTGATCATGATTTTAAAAATCATTTACAAAATATTCATTCAATAACAACATTAAATGCAGAATTAATTTATAATGCTATGAAAAATTATGGAACTATAAGTTATGTACAATTTGAAGAAGATTTATGTCAAATTAAATAAAGTACATTTGAGATGAAACATATGAATAATTGTTAATATATTTTCAACGAGATTTCATATATTTAGTGAAGTTTTTGTTAGAAAAATACTTTTCATGTGTCTTTAGAAAATATGATGTTTTGTTCTAATAATAAATGATCTTTAGATAATAAATAAACTATGAATATGAGTGATCTGTCAATAAAATCGAAGATTATTTTTCTTGACATTGATTCATGTTTGAATTTGATTATTCATGTAATATATAGTTAACATGAAGCATGTCATCTTTCAATTCAATCTTAAAAAGACAAAAATTAAAAATAATTAAATGAGAGATTTTGTTTCATATAAGATTTGTACATTAGCTTATAGTACTTTACTTTTTTATTCATAGAACAGCAGTATCTATATATGTAAAAGTTATCTGTAATTGATGTACTTTTTTATAGAACATAAGGTCAAAATACAAAGATAAAGATAAAATATGAGTCATTCCTATGAATTCAAATGGACGAAAAAAGATTTGCAATAAATATTTATTATTTGATGCGTTTCTTTATTTATAACATCTATTCATGTTTGAAATAGTTCCTATTATAAATTAAGAAAGATTATTTTAAAAAAATCAAACATTTTTATCTTCGATCGTTTATCAATATTCTTCTTTAATATTAATTGAACTTATTATTAGAATATTTTCTAATCATAAAAGTACAATATTAATAAAGTAAAGATCAATTTTAAATCAAGATGATTCTTGATTTTGTTGTTGTTCTTCACGTAACTTTTTAATTTTTCGTTTAACATGAGCACCACCATATTTTTCATATTGTTCTTGCCATTTTGGATCTCTCCACCAATTAAATTTAAGTTCTCCTCTACAGTTTTTTGCTCCACATCTACACATTAAACCATTCCATAAACTATTTTCAGTATCCATTAAACCATAATCATATGTAAGTTCTTCACCAACATCAATATCACGAATAGCTAAAACAAGTTCTTCTTCTTCACCACCAAATCCACAATTTGCATCACATGAATGATTAAAAAGTAAACAATCTTCAGTTATTTCTTGTGTTTTATAGTTACGTGGAACATCAAATATATCATCATCGAGCATATAACTATAATAACGAATAAAATCAGCTGATTCAGGATTAGCTTCAATTAAAGCAAGAACATCAGCTTTTGGCATTTTATTTCTTGGATCTTCAAGTTTATAATAATTACATACGGATAAATCACATGTAAAAACAGCTTCACCAGCTTTTATTGGTTCAAGTGCAACTACACCACGTTGTTTTTGTCCATATTTTGATGATAAATCGCGAGCTTCCATTTTCTTAAGGAACGGCATTATTATATATATATCGGTGATGATTTGAAGATAGACTAAAAGAATGAAAATACTGATATTTATATATGAAAAGTGACCTTGACTGATAAGATAAATACACAAGTTAGGAACAAGAAACCAAAATATACGAAGAATGAAAAAAAAGACACCTCCGTTTATTATTTTGTTTCTGATATAGACGAAAACAGCATATGTCGTTTTATAATTAAAATAGATTCAAAAAATAATATCAAAAACATTAGGTTAGTTTCAATATCGTATAATACTCTGCTTTGCCTTTCAAATAAATAAGAAACGAATATATTTCTTATTCTAAATTGAAATTTATTGTTAATTTTAATACATTGAAAAGTTACGCTTTTTTTTGGTTATTAACCTGCTATTATTTTATATATCAGTTAGAAATATTGACTGAGATGGTATGCATCTGTCTAAATATACACACATACAAGATGAAAGCATACTTTTTTGTCAAAGTAAGGTCATGTTTGCTATTACGTTTTTTAAATCAAACGTCTATCGACTATCATCTCATGTTTTTTTCACATTTATAGGAGTTTCTTTTAAAATATACCACTGTACACTTCTGTCAATGGGTCAATCTTTATTTATTGTCTTTCTTTCATCATTGTAATCATAAATTATGATTAAGACTAGAAAGTTTTCCTATATTGTTTAATATATCGTAAAAAACAATACAAAAGATGTCTCTAATGATAATATATAGAAAGTCACTAGTGATGATTCTTGACACTATACATCATTATAAAATGTTCTGCAATTAACAACTTTAACTGGTAAATATTCATTATGTAGAATTTTTTTATAGTTGAAGGAAATGTTCTAACATTATTAAAGACATCATATAGCAATCAAAATATGAGCATATATAAAAGCAATTGATCAATGTTGATAAAAACGTGATGTTCCTTTTATTTGTTTAAATATTACATATTATTTCTATAAGTTCATTGTTCAACACCAAATTAGATACAAAATTATTTAAAATATATTTGTTCATGCAAAGTCATCATTTTATTTTATGTATTCAATATATCTTGGAATGGAGAGATTCTTTTTATCAATTCTGGTTCTATAAAAAGTTCTATTTGAATGAAAAATTTCTCATTATATTTGACAATCATTACGGGTTTAACCTCTTCAATATGTAGTAAATCAATAACTAAAAAAAACAGAATTTTACTTCATTCATACCAATAAATGATTTTTATACGAGTGTTGTAACGATAGTTTTGTGCTCAATGAATTTCTGTCAAATATTGCTATGCCTATATGGATCTTATTGATCATGATTTTTTATCAAAGACTTATTCTTTAAATCTCATAATCCATTATGTATGAATAACATGAAATATGTTTTCATGTTCTGTTATTGAACCACCGATAAATCATATCTCCTTTCTCTACAGATATTTGTTGAAGGAAGAAAGAATAAAAAAAATATTCTTTTCAGAATAAAACAAATAGGCATACAGCCTTTTTGTATTTATTTAAGATTCTAGAATATTTCCGAGTGATATCATTTACAAATGATTTGTTAATACAACGGTAGGTTAACATCGTATTATATTAATATTTACGTTGTCCTTTTTCTCAACTTTACTATTCAAAGCCTACAGTTCATGACACGATGATCTGAATAATGAAATGCCATATAACTGTCGTTCAAGCATCAGCAGCCAAATAAAGCGGTGAATATAATGCTTTGCTTGCACGAGATAAAACACAAAATTCAGAGATTATTCTTGAAGTGTTCATTCTTCAGAGTATGAGATAATTAAGTCAATACTACCGACAAAATGTAGGTGCCATTGTATCAAGAAAAATAATTCATGAATATGTATTAATGACTTGAAGAAGAAAAATAGATTAAAAAAGG